ATCATAATAATAATATAATAATAATAATAATAATAATAATAATAATAATAATAATAATAATAATAATAATAATAATAATAAATAATAATAATAATAATAATAAATATAAATAATAATAGAGAAAATGGCTTCTCAAGTCCGTGAACACGAATCATCATCAACTGATTCCTTCGTGAAAGTTGTTGCAGAATCCGGTGCTCTTAAGTCAGTCCCTTCACAGTTCACTTTCAAGAACGACTCCAAAGGCTCTTACTCCAACTCCATCCCCACCGTCGATTTCTCCCACCTCACCTCTTCAGACTCCGATCTACGGTCCAAAGCCCTCAAGGACCTCGCTCATGCCTGTCAAGAATGGGGCTTCTTTGTGGTAAACCATTTTCAGTTTTTCAATAATACATAGACGAAGTAACTTATTAACTTTCTTTTTCTCCTCTCCTTCAGTTGATAAATCACGGGATACCAGACAGAGTTATGACGGCCGTAACCGAGGCGAGTTTGGAGTTTTTCGAGCTGCCGGACCACGAAAAGAAAGTGTACGAGGCGAAAAGCCCGTCGGACCCCATCAAGTCCGGCACGGGCTCCGTCATCACCACGTCGAACCGCAGAATTCATCTCTGGCGGGACTTCGTTAAATCATACGTCCACCCAAATTTTCACTCTCCTCAGAAGCCTCACGTCCTTAGGTAACAAAATGATCAAATTTTAAGATTATTCAATCGTTTAATCATGGGTCAAAAGATGTCTGCGGAGGTTAAAAAGCACGTGGTCAAATTGCGGCTAAAATTGTAGGGACATCTTGTTCGAGTATTCCGAGAAAACCCGCCACGTGGCAAGAAAGCTGCTTCAGGGGATAGGGGAGAACTTGGAACTGGAACAGGGCTACATAGACCGGGCTTTGCAGCTGGACTCGTGTTTTCAACTTTACGCCGCGAATTATTACCCGCCTTGTCCCGAGCCCGACCAGGCCATCGGGCTCCCGCCACACACGGACCACGGGCTTTTGACCTTCCTCATACACAATGGGGTGGCCGGCCTTCAGATTCAGCACAATGGGGAGTGGTTCAACACAAACTCGCCACACGGCTCGATCTTGGTCAACACGGCCGATCATCTTGAAGTAAACCAAAAAAAAATAAAAAATTATTATCATAAGAAAATAAGCCATTCTTGGTTTTTAATCTAATTGTCTTTCCTTTTTTTTTGTTGTTAGATTTTTAGCAATGGGAGGTACAAGAGCGTGAAGCACAGGGCGGTGGTGAACAATCAAGCGACGAGGATATCGGTAGTCATCGCGAATGGGGCAGCCCCGGAAGCGATTGTGGGTCCTGCGGGCCCACTTGTCGAGCGTGATGGCCGTGCATTATATCGCCCGATGAAGTTTATCGAGTACGTTGAAACCATGCTAAGCAATCGACTTGAAGGGAAAGGCAACTTGGACTGCCTGAAAATCGACGCTGTGTGAAAAAAAAAAAAAAAGTGGGTTTTTATTGTTGTTCGTGGTTTTCGCATCTCGTACGTATTCAAAAAAATAATTAAGTTCGTGGTTTTACACCGAACTCATATGACCACACACTATAACGACTAGTGCATATCCTGTGTGATGCACGAATATTATGTATATGCACTGAGTATTATGTATGAGGAAATAATATTAAGATCGGTTGTTTAAATTAAATAATCAGTTGAGTTTTTTTCTGCATTAGGCAAGATTGGGAGTGTTTCTACTAATTTTATTTATATTTTATGCCTGTTTAATTTGAATTTTTTATTCAGTTATCAATTTGATAGTTATGCTAAAATTTGAAGATATCTCTTAATTTATCAGTCTGATTAGATTATTAAAAAAATTTGGCGATTTCAACATTTAAAAATATTTTGTAATCAACCCATAACTTAGTTCATAAAATTAAATTTATTAGATAATTAATGAGTTAAGAATATCTAGTAATTTTCAGCATATATTTTATGAAATAGATATTTATGATTTTTTGCAAAAGTCTTTACCTTAATTTTTTCAAAACATTGGAAAAAATAAAACAATTCCAAAAGATAAAACATCAGTATCCCCTATATATAATTCTCGAATGCTCTTAACCTACGTGGCTGCTTCTGGTGCTTCAGAATCCTACTTGGCGAAGAATCATGCTTCGTAATTAGGTTTGGACAAATAATATTGATATATTAATAATTAATAATAATCTAGGTTCGGACATTCCATAAATATTATTTAGTTAATTTAGGTATTTTAATATCACTTGTACTAATATAACCCTTTAATTCTTTTTATTTCACATAGTGACACACTACTAATATATCTCTTACTTTTGATTTGCTCCCTTTATTAGCTATTGAATTATAAATGTATTTAAAAGTTGACAACTTTTGTATTTCTTATCGGTTTTACATATATAATATATCAAATTAATCATTTTTTGATGATCTTCGATTTGACATCCATATTGTATATATTAAATAAATAAATTATATTTATATTTATAATAATAAAAAATAATAATATTTATTCAAATTCATTATAGATATAAAATTATTTCTCAATTGATATATTTATGTTTAATGTAGTTATATGTTTAAGTTAAAATAATTATTATAATATAACACATGTAAGTCGCACAAATAAAAAAGTGTCATACTAAATATATAATAATATATATACTTTTATTAAAGATATTTAAATTTCAACTATTTTTTCTCATTAATTTTATATGTTAAGAAAAAAATTAGCAAACACCCGTATATTTTATATTTTAAGAAAAAATTAGCAAACACCTGTATAATGCGTTGTACTAGTATATATGGTGGCCAAAAGATTATCACATGCTAATTTTTAAGTAACCGTGTTATAAGGTAAAAAAAAAGGTATAAAATAGATAATCAAATTTTATTAATTTTTAGGCCCGATCAAAAGAGACGTAAAATAGATGATCAAAATCGATGGCATCTATAATTATATTAAAAGAATAACCATTTTAGAAGTTTCCCACCAATTTTATCTACATTACCCGCCAATTATCTAGATAAATTCACCAGCCAATTTTTCTTTAAAAGTGTCCTAAAAAATAGTAAGTGTCCAACAATTTTGAATAAGGAAACAAATCGACTAATTTTTAGAGTAGAAATTTGTTATTCTCTTTTTTGTTTTTTTTAGTATCTTTTCTGCCTTTAAAATCGTTTCCAATTCCAATAAAGTTTATCTTCCAATAAAGTTTATCATCCCTTATCTCGCAATTTAAAAAATTTTATCCCTTATCTACATATTTAAAATAATTTAAAAAATCTCATCTATTATCTATACATATTTAAAAAAAATTCCCTTACTAATATTTTTGCAAATATTATAAACTAGCAATACATCCTTGATAACAACATAAAAAGTATAATAATAATTTTAAAATTATGCGTAATCAAATTTTGTTAGATGAAAATAACGCTATCTGAATGTCTTTGATAACAACATAAAAAGTATAATAATAATTTTAAAATTATGCGTAATCAAATTTTGTTGGATGAAAATAACGCTATCTGAATGTCTTTATTAAATTAGGCTTATAATATTTTAGATACTTTAAACAAATTGGTTAGACATTTTTTTTACATATTCGTCTATATATACATATATATACACACATGTATACCTAATTGATGTTAAATTTAAATATATGTAGACATGTTTTCTTTACAAAATAGTCTAGAAAATTCTCTTTTGCACAATATTAAATTCAAATGTTTTTAGATATGTTTTCTTTCTAAAATTGTTTAGAAAAGTTGTAAGCGACTTCACATCTTTCAAAAATAATATAAATTTTTTTGAATACTTTTCCATATACTAATATAATATTTTAGGTATTTTAATATTAAATATCCAAATTTTATATTCTCTTATACAAAATCATGCAAATTTTATATTCTCTTATACAAAATAATTTTATATTGTTTGACCCTGAAACTTCAATTTATAATTATTAAGTATTGTTTATCCTCCTATTTAATTTATAAATTATTTTTTTTCCTCTTTTTTAAATAGGATCAATAGTAGTTTCTACTTCCGTCATTGAGTGACTCAAACTCGAGGTCTATTTATAATATTGTTGATTTAATACTGTTTCCGTGCATCCCACGGGACATACGCTAGTAAAGAATAATAGAAATTACTCATTAACATATCTGATCGCTCGGGCTATGATAATTGATGAGGCATCTCAAGTGCCCACACAGATAATTAATGACTAATAGCCCACTACACAGCGCCCGGTAAGATCAGCACTGAGCTCCAATGGCTGCCCGCTCCATCTTCCTAACTCTCGCCAGGTCCGCATATTTTCGACCAAAAATCTCCATTTTATTCTAATTATCGTATTTCCTAGCTCAATTTTGTTTTGCCTGGAATAATTTTGATTCATATTTCCTGTATGTAGAAATTTGCGAGGGTACAAAAAATTTCGATTCAGATCCATTTCCTCGAGCATCGAAGCTGTCAAACAAGAGACAATCACGGCGGCGCGTGCCGAAATCGTGGATGATTTTCCTGAAGAAGAAGAAGAGAAAGATGATTTGAAGAGCCGAATTTTCAGGCTCAGGCTTCCCAAGAGAAGTGCGACCAATGTTTTAGAGAAATGGGTTGGCGAAGGCAATGAAATCACCATTTCCGACCTCCGAAGCATCTCCAGGGACCTCCGCCGATCTCACCGGTACAAGCACGCACTCGAGGTATGTCAAGTTTTCTTCTTTAAGCTTCTGATGTTGGGAAAAGGGTGATTTATGTAGAGTCTTGAACATATGTGTTCTTGCTTGATTTGTTCCGAATCCAACTTCAATTTGAGAAAATTTGTGTAACTTGTGGGAACCAACTTCAATTTGAGAAAATTTGTGTAACTTGTGTGAAATGGTACGGTCCCGGAACCATTCCGTCGGGGTTTGTAACCTTTAGATCAACTATCCCGACGGTTACATCATGATCTAATGGTTACAAACCTCGACGGAATGGTTCTGTAACAAGGACCACAAAGAATGCCGTGGTATGTAAAGTATAAGTTGTTTGATTTGCAATGTGCTACTGCTAGAGTTGAAACCTGTTGCTCAAATTGCAATAGCTTTGAGATTCGCTTGATGTTGTCGACAGAAATTACAGCTCCTTTTATTCGCATGTTGCTATCCTCCATTCGGTGCACAATTTGTCCTGTTTATGTTTAAGTATGCACTTGAGTTCAACACCTTTAGTTACTAGCTAATGGGTGCAACTATTTTGTGCCCTTATAAAATTGGAGGAGGTTATTTGCATTCGACCAAGCAATGTATCCTGCAGAATCCTGTTTCGTGGTTGTAATTGAATTTTGGAACGAAAAGTATACACTGTGGGATAAATAATGATCATGTCGATCTTCTTATCTGCAGGTTTCTTCTTCATTTGTTCCTTTTCTTTTCTTTTTCTCTTTATCGGGGAGACCCCAAGATCTTGTTCCTTAATTGATTCATGTAAATTGTAGCTTGTGAGTTGTGACAAATAAAAAGCACGTTCACAATTGGTGCTTACATATAACACCTTTAGCGCACCCCTTTTATTATGTCTTTGTAACTCTTAAACTTTCGTGTAAACATCTTCTGAATCTCAAATTTGGTTGGACAAATTGGAGAGAGCAACTGATCACCTTCTGTAGGGATTCACATTTCATTTTATGCATTTTTTTCGTAACCTGCAGATATCAGAGTGGATGGTCAGTCGCAATGAGTATCAGTTATCCGACTCTGACTTTGCTGTCCGTATCAACTTAATGACCCGAGTTTTCGGCATTGATGCAGCTGAACGTTACTTCGAAGGTCTACCTCCCTCTTCGAAAACCAGCGAGACATACACAGCCCTCCTACACTCCTATGCCAGCCTAAAACTATCCGAAAAGGCTGAACTCCTCTATGAAAGAATCAAGGGTTCAGATCTCTCGTTAAATGCAATCACTTTCAATGAGCTAATGACTCTATACATCTCGGTAGGCCAGCTTGAAAAGGTCCCCTCAGTTATTGAGGACATGAAAACCCTAAATGTTGCCCGGGATTTATTTACGTACAATTTATGGGTGAGTTCTTGTGCTGCGGCTTTAAAAATTGATGAAGCGGAAAAAATTCTCGACGAGATTTGTGTTGACCCGGGCTGCGATGAGACTTGGATTAGATATTCGAAACTTGCTAGAATTTACATTATTGCCGGTCAACTAGAAAATTCAGTTTCCGGTTTGGGCTCTTTAGTGGAAAGCGAGAAAGGTGTTGTTACCCAGAGGGAACTCATATCATATGACTTTCTGGTGATTCTTTATGGGGGTTTGGGGAATAAAGATAGAGTTGACCAGATTTGGCAGTCCTTGAGGACAACGAGACAAAAGATGACAGGAAGAAATTATGTTTGTGTACTTTCTTCATACTTGATGCTTGGGCATTTGAGAGAGGCCGGCGAGATAGTTGATCAGTGGAAACAATCCACGAGTTCGGAATTTAATCTCGACATGTGTAATAAAGTCGTGAAGGGGTTTAAGGAAGTTGGGATGGAGGATAAGACCGATGGCTTTCATGTGTTGGCACACGAAAAAGGGTTATGACCAGTTGGGTGAATTGACATGAGGTTTTTGCAGTATCCCAAGTTTTACAAGCTGATTTGGGGATTTTAATCTAGTAGAAAGAGAGAATAATGAATTTGGGATGGCTATTTAGCAATAAGAAGGTGAGATTTTTGAGCAATGGTGGTTAGGTGGTGATGTTACTTGTTTGTTTTTCTGGATGTGTTTGTAACAGGAAAATTTACTCCTGATTACTTGGTGTAAAATCTGAAATATGTAATGGATTTCATGAGATCTCTTTCTCTAACAATGACATAAAACAGTCTTGTTGTTGGTTTTCTTTCTTTCTTGCTACATTTTTTTTTTTTTTTCAGATGGTTGCTGTTTGAATTTTGGGGCCTAATTATGTATGATTTCGATCCAAATTAACCTTTCAGTGCATGATGATAACACAAACTGTCTTTAGATTGCATTTTGACAGGTGTAACCACGTATTGTCTTCCGCCTTGAGCTCCGGTGACCTTGAAAACATGTTGGGGAGGGGTTCGGTGAAAAATCTTCTAACGCTTAAGTTAGATCTCGCCCGTGAATATGCTAAAAATTGAACTTGGTAACCCTCTTTTATACCCGAGTTATCTTCTATCTCAAGTAGATTTCTTACTAGGAAAGAGATCATATTATATGTTTGTATATCCTTTTTTAGCACAACACATTTGTGAGATCTTAAACTCATTAGTAAGATATACTTATCATATTCCTTACCATGATTTTGTTCCCTCTCACGTCGTGATCCATCCAGTGTATATGCTTACCACCAGGTCGAAACCACGGCCTTTACATGTGTGAACTTAAGGTCATACCGACCCCTCATGCGTCTGAGCTCCACAAGGAGCTCGACATCTAGCTCTTTAAGTGAGGTCGACTCGTACCCTGAGCTACTCCACCAAACTCCCTAATGATTTCGTGTCCTAGTATCAAGCTGAAGCTCCCATGAATCGATCACACCTAAGCTAACCACTCAGGTCGATTCACTGAGCTATCATGGGTGCCATATCATCCACAACCAATCCCCTCCCCAACCCAATTATTGAAGGAGTTATTTATGAGGACTTCTGTAAGAATAAAACATTGTCATTGCACCTAACCCTGTCTTTTCAGCTTTAAATTTCTTTTATCAATCAACTTAGGGACCCGCGCCAGTTAGAGACACCTCGAAACCCTAGAAAGTGTTATTCACTTAGGATCGTTGATCTTTACCAGATCAAGGTTTACCAAAAGCCGACCTTACAGTACCTGTCACATCAACTCCCCTCAGTCAATCGGGACCACTGATGTTGGACATAATTCAACGGCCCATCCGACCTCAAAGATCGTGCCTCTCGATCTGCTATAAAAACTCCACAACTCGTCCATTTGTAACTTTTTACACTTTGTATATTTAAAGTTCTTTTACAAAAAATCCTATGGCGATTCCACTTGACAGAACCTCGTCGGGAGACAAAACTCGATTGTCAGCGAGATCTTGACCAAGACACAAAAAAAACTCACGCGAACACAAGTGAATACGATCTCATTTGTTGTTGTTGAATTGACTTCTTTTCTGGTGCAATTCTATTACTTAAATAAATTATAAACGATTACAAGGAATCTAATTAAGGCCTACAAACCAAGATTATAAGAAAATAATGATCATGCCAATATGATTGCACAATGATTAATTCCTACACCCATGGATCTACAAATTCGTATAAATTGGTTGGTTAAATCTAAATGTCACCGATGGGATCTTTACCAAAAACTCAATTAAGGCACGATCAATGCAGAGACATTAATTATTTGTATATATCATTTAGCAAACAATTATATTGATGCAACAATATTATTAATTTACAATATTTTTTAAAAAAAGTTATATTTAATTTTTTTTAACTATATATATATACATGAAAATGAATTAATAAATTCTATTAGACTCCATAAAAAAATTAACTATTAGATGAACAAAGCAAACTAGGCTCATGTTTGTTAAATAATACTCCCTCCTATTTTTTTTAAATGTCATTCTAGCTTTTTTTAATTATTTGTCAAATAAATATCGTTTTGAATCTTTTGTACATATTTTTCTATTATTACCCTCATTTAGCCAATAAATACATTACGTCTTTTCATATTCACTCTTCACTTTTTCTCTAAACATTTATCTCCGTCTACATTAAATAAGGTTATTATTGATAAAAAAATATTTTTAATTAATGTGCAACTTATCAAAACGACAATTATTAAAAATATGAGGTGGTATAGAAAATAAATTCTAAAATAAACATTTTCTTCCAA